CTCCAGACCTCATTGCCAATCCACCAGAAGCCCTTGGGGAGACTGGAAAAAGCAGGACTTGACTGAAGGAGAAGAGCCCTGTTTCTGGGGAAAGTCTCCTCTGAGTCCATAAGAGGACTACTTGGAAGGAAAAAAGAGAGGTAGAAGAGAGCGTTGGATGGAATGGTGAAGGGAAGGCACAGAATAAGGGGACTTAAGAATGGACACTAGGCAAAGACATTGGGGAGGCAGACACTAGATGGGCACTTGAAGGGAGAGCTGGAAGAGGCAGAGGAAGATGAGACACTTAAGAGGTTCAGGGGCAATGTCAGATCTATGTAGGAAGTCTTAGTGGGAAGGAACAATATGAGGGGGATCTGGGGAAAGGGCAGAGGGATACATGCAGAAAGATGGATGATTGAGACTTTTAGGGAATAGAGGAGGAGAGAATTCATGTTTTGAGAGAGGAAAAGAGAGAAGGAAGGGAGTTTGTGAGGACTGAGAGGGAATAACCGAGGGATGCATGGAAATTTATTTTTCTGGAGTTTTGACGTTTCTATTGGTGTGTGATGTGGTGATGGGAATGGTCCACAGATAACAGTAGTGTTGGATGGCAAAACAAGGAGCAATGGTCTCAAGTTAAAGTGGGGGAGGTCTAGGTTGGATATTAGGAAAAACTATTTCACTAGGAGGGTGTGAAGTGCTAGACTGGGTTACCTAGGGAGGTAGTGGAATCTCCATCCCTAGAGGTTTTTAAGTCTCAGCGTGACAAAGCCCTGTCTGGGTTGATTTAGCTGGGATTGGTCCTACCTTGGGCAGGGGGCTGGATATGATGACCTCCTGAGGTCTCTTCCAGCTCCATGATTCTATAATTAATGCCCGTGGAAGAGATTTCATTTACCAAAAAATACTAACTGAAATCTATTCCACTTTTTAACGTTTCAAACTGCATTTAGAGTACACATTATGCTAGAAAGAAGCCTTCTCTTCTCTAGTCTAAGTTGAGCCACTCAAACTTGGAGAGGGGGAAATTAGTAACTCAGTACTGCAAAGCTGCCATTTGCTGCTTGGCTTTGTTGAGTGCATTGGAGAATGCAAGCCCTCCTTGTAAAATGGGCCATTGTTATGTGCAGAGTGAATCTAACAGGCTGACTTAATCTTCACTGAGTGTCATGCCATTTCAGACAAAAAAGCAGGTGAATGATGGGCATAAGATAGCTAAGAGTTTAACTCAGATATTCAGTTCTTTCCATTGGATTATCGAGGAAGAAACAGACTTGACACTCGCTTCTTATACTTTTGCATTTAACATTTTGCGCTGTAGAAACACCTATAACTATGGCAAAGACAAGTATGTGATTGATGGTGTTTGCAAACTTGGCACAAAATACACAAGACAAAGCAGTACTTTTCCTTTTGTTTATCTATTGTCAAAGCTGCTTACTCAGAAATGCTTGGTTCAGTCAGTCCTAATTGGTTTCATTACCATATTTGTCAAGAATTGCCATTCTCCTTCCTGAGTAAAACTTTTCTCACTGCTACTAGCTGAGTTTACTTGGGATACATTCACTATTAAAGGCTTTTCCAGTTGAAAGTCACTGAAAAATATTAGAATTATGAATAGAGAGTAGTTCCTTCTAGAGAGATGGAAAGGTGATGGTACAAAAGATGATGATGTTACAAAAGCTCTGTATGATAGAAACAGTGAATGATTGTTTGAAATGAATGTTGCAGCTATTTCCAGCAGTCCCCAACCTTTTTAAGCATAAGATCATTTTTTGAATTTAAATGCAATCCAGGATCTACCTCAAAACCAAACACCCTTGCCCCATCTCCTTCCTGCCCTTTCTCCGAGGCCCCACTCCTGCTTACTCCATCCTCCCTCCTCCACCCCACTCACTTTTATCAGCCTGAGGGCAGGAGTTTGGGGTGCAGGAGGGATTCAGGACTGGGGCCATGGTTTGGAATGTGGGATCCAGCTGGGCACTGCTTATCACAGGTGGCTCCTGGGTGGTGGTCCAGGGAGCTGAGTCAGGCTCATCCCTACCCTGGCCCTACACCACTCCAAAAAGCAGCCAGCAAACTCTCTCCATTCCTGCCTCCCTCTCCCCTGTGGAGATGAGGTACAGGGTGGAGGGAGGGGCATCCTGACATCAGTGCCTTCCTTCCTCCTCTTCCCATGCCCTGCACAGCAAGCTGAAGGCTCCCAGGAGTGAGGGGCACCTTGAAGGCAGAGGGCAGGAGCAGTATGGCAGTGCTGAGAGAGGCAGTTTAAGTGCTGGCACTTGATAGTCTCTCGGCCAATCCAGTCAGGATCACCTGTCAAAGGTTCCAAGATCTACCAGTAGATCCTGATCTACTGGTTGGTGACCACAGATTTATACTATAAAGTACAGTATTGATTATCCAGAGAAGAATCTCTCCTGCAGTGAGGCCCCTTTGCACAGTGCAAAGGCAAAGGAGATTAAAAAAAAAACAAGCTTGTTTTCTTGGTATGACAGAGGTTCTGTTCAACATAGAGCCAGCTAGGCCTGACTTGCTATACTTCACAGATCCCCTTGAGCCCACAGTCATCTGACTGTAGCTGACCAGAGTAAGTCTCAGGTCCGACACCGGGCTCTCAAGGTACAAAATATGCCACACAGGTATCTGTCAAACACAAGTAGTTTATTTCCTGACAGCTAACAGCTGTGCCCCATAAATGGAAGAACAACACAACAAAGAAGCAACATATCTTACATCCCTTCCTGCAACCCTAGAACCCCAGGTAGGCTGCGACATAGAGCCAGCTAGGCCTGACTTGCTATACTTCACAGATCCCCTTGAGCCCACAGTCATCTGACTGTAGCTGACCAGAGTAAGTCTCAGGTCCGACACCGGGCTCTCAAGGTACAAAATATGCCACACAGGTATCTGTCAAACACAAGTAGTTTATTTCCTGACAGCTAACAGCTGTGCCCCATAAATGGAAGAACAACACAACAAAGAAGCAACATATCTTACATCCCTTCCTGCAACCCTAGAACCCCAGGTAGGCTGCGGACGAAACGGGAGGTTGTCTCAGCTTCTGAGGCGCTGGTACCCAAGGCCCATCGGTGAGGTTCAATTTGCTAGGCTCTGAGGCAGCCTTAAATACAGTTTTTCCTGCCTTGTTTGGCAGTTTGGAAATTTTCAGGGGTTACTCATTACGTGCTGATGTAGGGCTTAACTGTTAGTTATCGATCTAGTTCTGATCTAGTTCAACTTGTTCTTTGGCCCTGTTTACGTGATCAGTATGTTAAGGTATGCGTTCTTGCCCTTTACCCTTATCTCATACTTGTTCCTGCTATGCTGGCAACAATGCTTAAGTGGTATATGTTCCCAAAGACTTGCTTCTGGATCATCAGTAGTAGGAAAAAGGGAAAAAGGGGGGAAAGAATGCAGGCCTTACCACCCCTAAACTAGCACGTACAAAGTTCTTTCGCAATTGACCACTACACTGACATAGTTTACGACAACCCTGAATCCTCTTTTAACATTTGCCAGAGACAAGGTGGATGCAAGTTGAGGATCCTTTTATTACAACAGAGAAACTTCTTGACAAAATCCAGAAGATAACTTAAGTGTAAGTTTTTAAACATAGCTGGAAAATATGGTACCTTTCCATCAACTAACTAGCAGCAGCAGACCAGTATGGACTATTTCACAGCAGATACTGTTACGTAGCAACAAGCAAAATATAAATGGGGCAATCCTTCCATAAAAACTCCTCCTGCATCATTCAGATCAATAATTGTCTGACTTTGAGCTGTGACACACATCGTTGTGCAATCTCAATCATTCAATCATTTCAGATGATAAGGGGGAAAAATGACTTATACATCTGTTGTAGTCTCCTTTACATTTTGTATTTTGAAGTTTTTTTTCCATTTTATTGTACCATTTATTCATTTGCTAACACTAAGAGTCTAACACTACATTCAGAATGCATGGAGTTGCATGCATACATTTATACAATAGATAGTCTTTTGGTTAATGGCTTATTTAACAAACCTTCACTACAGTATACATCATGTGTGTTTTCTCCTAGAAAGTCTTCCCTTTCCTTCGTGTGTGTGATTGTGTGTGTGTGTGCGCGCGCGCGCACACGCAAAAAAGCGATCACTTAATGTGTCAGCCACTTTGATATGAAAGGGTTTTATTTTTGCTCCTTTATAATTGTATTTATTTATTTTTAAATTTGGAAATGTTTTGCTATTAAGTGTTAATGTGCTTTCAGGTACAATGTGTGGGGAAAATATGAAATCCATATATATATTTTTCTTAAAAGTTAAGAATATAACTTAAACTTATTTTATTGAATTTATTTTGGTGATCAAAGACAGTCTCACTCAGAACTGATTTTCTTTGTGATTATTATTTAAAATAAATGTATATAATTTTAAAAATAGTTAAGGCTAAATCTGTGTATGAAGTTCAGAAGTCTGTATAAAACAAAACATAGAGACTGTTTTGAGCCTGAGACTTAAATAGCTTCTCAAATAAATGAAACACATGTGCTGCAGTTCAGCAATAAGGAGGGTGAGGTAATATCTTTTATTGGACCAGATTCTGTTGGTAAAGAGAGAAGTTTTCAAGATACACAGAACTCTTCTTCCAAAAGGAGACCTCTGTGTAGCTACAAAGATTGTCTTTTTCACCAAGAGAAGATCATCAGATAAAATATATTACCTCACTCACTTTGTCTTTACATAAGAGAGAGAGAGAGAGAGACTTAGTTATGTTAGTTATTCTTCAGTACACTTCTTTGTAACTATAAAACATATTTTTATTATCTTGAGTTTGTTTTCCCATTATTAATGCGGTTACTAATTGTTCTGAATAAAAGTGTTATGAATAGATGGAGCTTAACCATTATTTGTACCCCTACCCAAAACTCTCTTTTTCAGATGCACATGTACAGCAGGTTGGACAGGGCCACAATGCAGTCAAGATATAAATGAATGTGATTCTTATCCGTGTTTAAATGGAGCTACCTGCAAGGAGTCTGCTTTCCAGGGACAGTTTCTATGTATTTGTCCTCCATTTTACACTGGTGACTTTTGCCAGCAACGTTACAATCCCTGTGACCTTCCCTACAATCCATGTATAAACAACTCAACATGCTTGGCTCAAGTTGATGGGAGTCCATTATGTGTTTGTGAAAAAGGTAAGATTTGGGATAGTTTGCAACTACGTTCTAATTGTCAGTAGCTGATATTAGGCACCCAGTTGAATCATAAAATACATTGCAACTGTGTCTTAAATTTAAATATATATTTTGAAAAATAATAATTTTTAGGCCCTTCAAGCTAAGAATTTCAAAGCACTTTTAACAAATTATGCTTCATAAACACCTCTGAAATAGGCTGAGATTTGTCATAGAATGTTGATTTGAACTACTACTGCTTTATTGTAATAAATATATGTGTACCAAATTATCTTAAGAATCTCCACCCGGGATTATAGACTCATTGTCCTTAGTCCAGTACAAACACAGAGATAGACGTGGTCCTTGCTCTGAGGAGCTGACAGCCTAAATAGACAAGGAAGACAAATAGAAATAAACAAATAAACACAACTGCAAATTGTTAATTGTACAAAATTTGAGGCCAGACTATGTGTAATCCCTGCCTAGCAACACATAGGAAAACTACCCCAATAAAAGTCTGTGGCCTATGGGAGCTGTTTGCTCTTGCTTCTTCCCACTTTGAAGAATTGAGAAGAATCTTGAACATAGAGTTGGTGTCCCTTCATACAAGTGTGTGAATAAGGGCTGGTATTTCAGGAGACTAGCCTAACACTTAGCGTAGACTGTGCCCCAGTCCTCATGCAGTCAGTAGCTCTGCAATAGGCACTGATTTATTATTATTATTATTATTATTTTTAAAGCTGGAAATGCGAAATGGGAGGGGTCACTTGAAAATTACTTGTTCTGTTAATTTGTTCTGGACCACCCGTCATCAGGCCAGATGATAGGCTAAATGGTCGTTTGGTCTTACCCAGGATGGTGATTCTTATGTTCTGGGATGTGGCTTGAAAGTCACAGTATAGGTTCTGAAGTACAACACTAAGTAGGATGGAACATATTTACAATTTAACAGCAGAAAACATATCTGCACAGTTTAGGATTGTGACTAAGGTATATACACTAAGCACTTAGAAATACAGTGGAAATTCCATATGCAGAATTTATTACTTCATCTGGAATTTACCCAGCACTATGAAGTCAATGCCTCCACTCATATAAATGTTGAACACCTTGGTTTCAGTGTCATAAGCACAGTAGTATTATCCTCTTCATTGTTAATATATGCATTGAATCTCTGAGGTTCAAAGGGTGGATATAATGCTCAGAAGTATTAATATATATTTTTCTCATCTAGTAAGGCTTACCATGATTGCTGAACAAAAAGAGGCTCATTAATTGTAGAAGTACTGAGTTCTTTACTGAATGAAAGATTAACATTGAATGCCATGCTGACAGCAGAAAATGGCTTTAGGTACAAGTTTTTTACTTTGAGGCTTTTCTTTATAAAGAATTCTTCATAAAGAATAACGGATAATAAAGTTCTATACCTTTTCTTAATGTTTATTGCTGAAAAAAAGTCTTGTGTTTGGAACATCCTGCATTAATTTTAAGCACACTAAAGTTATTAGTTTGTGAAAATTAAAGTTAGTGAAAATTTCCATTATATTTAAAATTGATATGCATGTGTGCTGGGAGGCAGTAGCAGAGCTATGTGAGGGGAGTGGGGAAGGCATGGAGGTTCTGGGGGCGGGGCTAGTGCTGGTCCAAGAGGTGGGGGGGAAGGAGACTGAGACTAAGGGGTACTGTAACTTCCAGGACAGGGAGCTGGCTCTGGAGGTGGGGTAAGTAGGGAAGGGGGGCAGGGCTGGCACTGAGGACACGGTAATATTGGGGACTTGGGGCTGGCACAGAGGAGCCTGGGGGATTGGGTGCTGTGGGGCTCTGGAAACAGGAGGCTGGCACTGAGGTATTTGGGGCAGGACAACTGGCACTAGAAGCAAGAGGCTGCCAGTGGGGTGGTTGGGTGCAGACGACTCTAGAGTCAGTGGCTGGCACTGAGGGAGTAGTAGAGGGGTTAGGTGCTCAAGGGGTTAGGGCTGGCACTGGGAGCTCTGTGGAATGGGGCTCTTTATACCATGGACTGGTGCATAAAACATGGACTGACAAAATCCATTAATCTCTTAATTTTTTATATTATTTGTTGTTTGTATCTGAAATCTGCTAAAATCAAGTGGAAAGGGTCTCTCATATTTATTCACATTGAATATGATGATTTCCTGACAAGAGCTGTTCTGGAAATTCTCGACAAGATTCTGACTGCAATCCCTTGTTGGCAGGCAACAGCACGTGTCATTTGCTCTTTGCTGTTGATTAGATACATATTTTATTTGGAAATTCAGAAGGTTGGTTTACATTCAGAAGGATAGTTCAGTTTGTCTTCAGAAAAGACAGCCAGGCATGTGAGAGATTTTGTATTTTAAAAATCTTTGCTTTGAAATGTGGAAAAGATACTTTGTAAAGTGTTGTCCTGAAGAGCTACATTTGATCATGTACATGTGCAATTGATTTACAATTTGGATCTAAAGCCTGACTGCTTTGCGCAAGTAGAGCACCAAGTTGTTACAGTTAAATGTGCCTATTACTTTAGTACACACATTATTCCAGAACATCATGGTTACAATATATTACATCAAGATACATATTTCCAGGCTTGGTACCACTTTACAAAGTAATGAATCCATTTTGTAATTTACTTGAATGAAATATATTCACAACAGAAGACACAAATTAAGCTTAACAGTATAATATGTTTTGTAGCATGTATTGATCAAATTCTTTTTAGAGACTGCAAATTCCTTTGCAACTGACAACAATAATTTATATTAGTTTAAAATATGTTAATTCAGGTTTTTTTCTCCCACTCCCTTAGAAAATATTAAATAATTTGTAACACTATATCCATACATTGTTCTGAATTTAAATGCTCTATAGGACCATAGTTATTTCTGACTCTAATTGTTAGTTTGGAGTACTGAAACATTTGTATAAAGTGTCCATATATATTACATTATCCTTTAAAATGAAACACAAGAATATGTATAAGAGGAAAAAAAGGCAGGCACATCAATATCATATTCCAATAATTGGTCACAGATTGATGCCTTTCTAATGCTCCTTATAGGAGAAATAATTTACGTGCAATATTTTATTTATAACATTCTGGTATATTTTAAAGGAAAAACAATATGGGATTTGAACCCTTCTGATTATAAGAGAAATATAGATATTACATTGTGCTGCTCTATTTTCATAATTTTCTCAGGGAACATTTGCCAGAAGTGAATAATAAAGTCTTATTACCATGAGCTCTGTGATTCAGACATGTACTATGCTGACTTCATAAATTAAACATATATAGTTACATAGATGCATAGAAATTATATCTGGAATAAAGTAAAGATGCTTATAGCTTTCAGCTTCCACTTTTAATGTAAGAACCACTTTTAGACTTGGGTTAAAGCTGAAGCTTGTAGCTGAACTTTACAATAAATGTACCATCCAGTGTGCTGGAAAAAATCCCCACAAACTCTCTAAATCATTAAAAAACAAAAAAGGAACAGGAAAAAAGTCAAAAGTCTCTCTCTTTCTCTTTCTTTCTTTCTGTACGTGTCTATATATGTGGTTAAAAAAATCAAATTGACTTTTATCTCTTTCACTTTTGATATTTAATTGCCAAAGTTATTTATTCCAATGGTCCCAGTGACATCTTGTAATAAAGCCTGTGTGTTTTTGTGTTGTGCAGAATAATTAGCAAAATAACGTATGTGCAATACGCACTCTACGTTGACTTGGTTTGATGATGGCTATGCTTAACTATGGAACTCTGGGTTGGAGAACAGAGGGATCATTGTGGTGGAATCTGTGGCTGTGTCTATGCTACAAAGAAAATTCAGAAAGAGATACAAAAATTGCTAACTGCTTTTTGTCCGAAAGAGGCTTTTCCGACATTTGGCCCATCTATATGGGGCCAAATGTCAAAAAAAAACCCTCTTTTGGAACATCCCTTCTTCCTCATAGAATGAGGTTTACAGGGATGCCAAAAAAAGCAGACACATTCCTTCGGTATCCCAGAAAAGCTCTGTAGCCTAGATGTACCCTGAGCCTAAATGCAGTGTTATATGTGCAATGCCCAAGCTTGAGTTACTATAGAAATTATTGCAGAACATCCTCACCAAGTGGGCAAGTCTGAAGGGAGCAAGGTTTAGATAATTCACTCCATTTTTATTTTTATGTATATCCTTTACAACTAGCTATAGTGCTTAAAGATCCAGCTGTCTTCAGAAACGAAGGCTATGTCTAGACTGCAGAGTCCAGGGAACTTGTCCACTTTTTCAAAACAGTTTCTGAAAAAGCGGGTACATTCTTTCGGCATCCCTCTATTCTACTCTGTGAGAGGAATAAGATGTTCTGAAAGAGGAGGGTTTTCTGAAATTTGGTCTCATGTAGACGGGCCAAATTTTGGAAAAGCATTTTCCAAAAAAAGCAGAAAAAGATATGCAAATTGCAAAATAAATACGCAAAAAAGATTTGTATTTTTTTCCAAAAAAACCCTGCAGTCTAGCTGTCGCCTATGAAAAATGCATACAGAAATACCAGAGATGAAAATGAAAACTTTGCATAAAATAATTTGTTAGTGGTTTCAGAAAATTCACTTGAGGTGCAATCCACATACTTTATATTTGACTGCATCCCAAAAATATAAGCTATCTCCACATGTTGTGGTTATATCTGTGAGTTATTTAAAGTGTTATACATTTTTACTTTCTTTTTCTGAGTACTACTTTTCACCAAAGTCTCATTTCCCTAGTCCATTGACATAGGATGCTAGTCTGTAACAGTACTCAGTCTCAGAAATGTCAAACATAATAAAAAAAGGAAAATCACAAAAGAATAATTTGGCCACAGATACTCCTATGGGTCACAGTCTCACAGGTTCTGCATGTTCTTCCAATTCATCAACCAAACCTGAGATAAAAAGACAAACTGCCACCTCTTCTGTTGCTGCTCAGTGTCACTGGAGTATCATGTATCAAAAGAAAAACTCCTGAAGAACAACGTATTGTCTTTGGCTGCTGGCTAGCTGATATAACCAATCACTCTATTGAACAAAAATATTGAACTGTTAAGGTGAGAGTCACTTTCTAGTATTTTCGCTGTTTTTCACTAGCAAACTATAGTGAAATAATAGAAAAGGGCTCAAATAACAAAATTCAGCTTTTCATCAAGGTTTCCTTCACCCAAAAATTCAAGAGTATTTGGATCCAGGGACAGTTCCATATCATTCCAAACTCTATAGAACTCTCAATATTTCGGGGGCTACTTTAGTTATGTTGTTTTTATTATAGGACAAATTGTGAATTTTATTTCAAGTTTAGGGTGCTGTGTAGTTGCACCCTAGTATTGATAGCAGATGATATTTAGTCAGGGTTGCTATGTTTGGTTCATATTTTCACCATGGACTCCAATCTGTTTCCTTGGACAAGCCAATTAACCCACTATGGCTCAGGTTAACAATCTACAATAATCTGTAATTTACTATACCTTCCTCTGAGGGGCAAACTGTTAATACAGTACACTTCTGATAATCTGGAACCTTTGGGACCTAGGTGGTGCTGGATTATCGGATATGATGGACTCTCAGGAGGTATTATAAATTGGGTGCAGTGTATATTGTATATAAAGTGTTTTTAACACTTTTTATAGTAGCACAAGCATTGTCCAGTGTCACACAATGCCAGTGGCAGACTGACTTGGTCCTGTCCGGTTTCGCTTGGTTCAGCTGCTGCTGCTGCTGCCTTGTGACTTGTTTTTTTTGCTGAAGCTTACTCACTAGGCTCTTGCCATTTTTATGCCAGACTATCAGGAGTGCCGTACAATTGGATGCCAGACTATAGGAGTTTTACTGTATTTGTAAATTGCCTTGAGTTGTATGTGTGAGAGGTGCTACATAACAACCTTATCAGCAACCCCTAAAATCATAGAAAGATTGTCATGGGCTTCAATGGACTTTGGATGAGGCCCTAATTGCAGAAAGTTTGGTTATCAGTACTAGAGGAAACATTTCAGCATCAGTCATTATCGAGTTTGTGAGTTTTTATCTCCATCTGTATCATTTTAGCACAGTTTCATGTTTAACATAATTGTTATTTTATGCTAAAATTTAAGATGTAGTATATGTTACAGTAAATTGAACTTTCTAGTGAATCACTCCTTATATATTCTCTTTCCCCCTTTTTCATTAGTTTGGAAAATAATTGTCGTGTATTCTGATGTGCTTAAATGGGTGACTTATTATGCAGATAAGAATCATAATGAATTGCTTTCTTCAATGTATTTGAATATTGAAACCAATTAAACATTTTTCTCATCTGTTGAATGGTTTGAATAAAAGTGATCTCTGCAAATTCACTTACATATTAGAATGTATTTATCACAGAGCTGTTTTTGCTTTTAGAGATATTCCCACTTTTACTGATAAAGCATTTTCAAAGCCTTAAAACAGTCTTAATTGCCCCAAAAGATTTAGCAAGGTACTCATTTCTTGCATCTAACCCTGTCTATCTTGTGCTTTAAGATATGATTAGACTTGTATTCTCTGTGGGAAATACTGCCTAAGTCTGAGGGATAAGAAATGCTAGGGGGTTACAGGTTCCATTAAGACAGAATTCACCTCGGTCTTTGTTATCACTGATCCTGACATTCACACTGTGTAGTGGAGATTGCTGATCCATACCCATATCATTTATATTTCAGGATTCGAAGGTGCTTACTGTGAAATTGACAGCAATGAGTGTATCTCCCATCCATGCCAGAACCAAGGTCACTGTGTAGATGAGGTTAACAGTTACAGGTGAGAATAATTGTTCAAGTTACAGGGCCACCAGCTATGATGTAGAGCAGTTGCCACTCAATCTGCCATTCTTTTGGGGAGGGGGTTATATTAATGTTCTAATACTGTAACTAGCTGTTTTTTTTAAATTGTATATTCTGAGCCTTTATATTGTCAAGTATTTCCAAAACTCAGTTATTTTTCTGTTTATTATAGTGGTTCACACATCATAATGGACAAAAATCTTATTTTTATTGTTTATATTATACTTACATTAAAGCAAATTTTTCTGTGCATTTAATTGACATCTTATTTGTCAGGTGCTCCTGCAGACCTGGATTTTCTGGGACACAATGTGAAGTGGAGATTAATGAATGTTTATCAAAACCCTGCCAAAACAATGGAACCTGTCTTGACCTTATAAACAGGTTAGTAGCTAGAGCTGAGTTAAAAGAATTCAGAAACTTTTCTATGAGAAAACTCTACCCATTGGCTTTACTGGTATTCACGGTGCCTGTCTACAAACATTTAGGAAGGCTCAATTTTGTTCTCAGAGAAGTTTTCAGGAAACAAAGGAGTCATGTCTATTACAGGAATGGTTACAATAGAAGGACTTGCAGAAACTTTGGTAAGATCTTTGAAAATTGCACAAGAGATTTCTTGTACAGCTGCAAATAACAAGCCATCATGTAAAAATCATTACTAGTTTGTGCCTAGACATAACACTGATGGGGAAGTATAAAATCTATATAAATAGAGAGATAATTTGAACACAGAAAAAAAACTTTAGTTTAATGAAATCTATGGCATTTGTTCGCAGATCAGAAATAACTCCATGTCATTTAGCTGGATGGCCCCACTGTACCCAGGTGAACAATCACAGAAACCAATTTTTACAAAATTAATAGGCTAGTTTGTTTTCACAAATGACTTCATTGAACAAATGTGGTTATGGAACAGATTGGTAAAAATCATAACTTGGATGTAGACAATTTTCAAATATATGTGGGCTAATTGAGTGTATTTATCAAATATTTATAATGATTAATTTGGTTAGTTAATTGAATTAGTAACATTTAGGCAAAGTTTTACTTAGCTTTGTATTGATTCTGGAGTCTTCCCTTTCTCTTTCACTCTTTTTGAAAAATCAAAGCCTATTGGAGGAAACAGGTATTCTATGGAAGGATGTGTTCTTGTGCTCTCTCTCTTTCCTGCTTTCCCCCTTCCTGGAGAAACTGACGATTTCTGTATTGAGTTTGTGATTAAATCTTCTGCGCTTTTCCTATTGTCATGGAACTTAGGTGGTGGTGATAAAGTTTGGGTAGATATCCTACTCCTAGGGCATACAACAAGATCCTGAGTTAAAAGGATGTAAATATAACTAATTAGATCATCCATTTTGCAACTTCTGAGCCATGGGGAAGAAAAATAAATTGGTTATATTTGTGATTTTACTCTACACTATATGCAAATAGTAGTTGCACGAAATCAATCAGATTTTTATGCTGATGCGTAGTTATAGTGATATCTCTATGTTCTCTGCCTTCACTCTATGCATTTTTCCAGTATAAACCTTCTGTAAAAATAATATTTAAACGAGAGAGGAAAAAAATAAAATGTTTGTATTTGAATCCAAGAAACTATGCAATGAAGATGCATAACAAAATAACCTAGCCATTATGTTGTTCCTCTTAGCTTCAGCTACATTTATTGCACACAATTTCTCCACTAATTTAAAATCTGTAAATCAGTCTGTTTACTACAGAGATATGGAAATGAGAAGAATCTAATATATGTTTGGTGAGAAGGGATCACTACTTGACCCCTAAACATCTGGAAGGATTCACTATGTTTTAACAGATTACACCATTTACTTCTATTGATTCATCTTTTATTTTTCTCTCCTTTTCCCCAAGGTTTCTCTGTAGCTGTGCACCTTGGTTCTATGGGCCTCTTTGTGAGTTGGATGTAAATGAGTGTGAAACTTTGCCTTGTCTGCATGGAGGTAGTTGCTATAATAAACCTGGAGGCTATCAGTGTGTCTGTCCCCCTGGATTCACAGGTATAGTCCCTTCCCTGAGAATCAATTGCTGCCACAGGGAAATGTGTTACCCCTGCATTCTGCATTTTAAAACTGTTGCATAATTAATGGCCTCAACTATGTCACGGAAGAGTGCAAAAACTTGCCTGAGTATTGGAGAAGAAATCAATGTTAAGTCAAATGGACCTGTGATCCAAGTTTTTGCTAAGTACCTCAAGTCTTTATTTACATTATTTTGATTTATGGGCACTATAATAGTCCAGATATTTAGCTGAAACGCATTAGAAAAAAAGGTTACATGGCACAAAAGAAAATCAATGTTTCGTGAACTCAGCCAAAAGAAATCAGTCATTGTAGATATAGAGTATGTTTTGCAGGTAGATTCAAATATTGTTTTTATTAAAAGGCATCTCTTCTATCAGAGTTTCACTCTGTTTTTTTAACAGTAAATCTTGATTTATTTTCTGTTATCAAGATTTATGTTCAAATAATACAAAGTGAATTTCTCCTTTGGATATACACTGTCAAAAGTATTAAGTCTGTGACTCCCCTGACCTGTATAACTGTCATTACTGCCTCAGTTATTGATCTTGGATTGATAATTAGAATTTCTACAGAACTAATGATCCATTATTTAACAAGTAGAGGTGTAACAAAATATGTCTAAAATCATTATATTCACTTAAAAGTTCTTCATGTAGCATCAAAATTGCATGGCTGCTTACTATTTTGGTATCACTGAACATGGAGAAATGAGTAAGTTTGTGATATATATAACTTGATATTTTTGGCTGTTTTAAATTACTGCACTTTCTGCATATGTTTTACATGATGAGTATTGTTCTTCCCCACTCAAGCAAAGAGGGAAACCACAAAATGGATCTAGCAAAAAGTTACCCTTCCTCATCACCAAACACAGGTACAATTTGGGTTAAGGCCAGTAGAAAATGTGTTGCTGAAACTATTTTTAAATAAAAAACTGGGGTCTGGAAAAACAAAATTATTCATGACAAGTTTCTACATTGCATTTTTCAAAAAACCTAAAATCCCAAAAGTGAAATATTTCAGTTTTCCATCTTACATATGTGTCAAAAATGTCGGTGTAAAATGTTTGACCTAAAATAAAAAGATGTTTATTAGTATTTTTCCCTAGAAGTAACCCATTTCCTGAGATGTAAGGAATGTGTACAGAAATGACTTGGGTGAAAGGATCTGAGGAAAAAATGATTTTTGCCTTTAAAAATACTGCTGAGTCATTTAAAAGTAAAAGCCTTTTCTGAAAATTTGAGTTTGAAAATATTATAACACGTTGCTTTTAATGAATTTGAGTCAATAAAATAATACTGAAGGTAGCATATTTCATTGCCTATTTATAGTACTACTGGTCATTTTCATTACCTATTTTATATTTTTTTAAATTAAAGTAAACTGCTTCCTAATATACTGAATTATATATCATATTATCTCTGTGTGGTATGGCTAGCTTCCAGTATACATAAAATTGACAGGATGGTAAAGTGCAATATTGAGATATTAACTTTTGTTCTTCATAGAGGTTACTACACTTAATATAAAGTCAAGTTTCCACAGTGGCTACTATGTGATGAGCTTTCCATATAGAATTCTCTCCGTCAGTGTCTTGCACCTATTATGAATTCACCTTTAATAGTTTTAGAAGAGAAGACATCTTAAAAAAATATGGCCTTTGGAGACTAAAGTCTGAAAACCAACATCTCTGGCCCAGGTCCAAGAAAGACAGCTTCATATTCTGTTCATGAAATGTGTTATATATTATTCCTGCAAACTCAGATGAGAATTGAAATCTTTCTTAGAAGAAAATCAAGCCAGAGGATATATTTTTATTTTGCACACTTCATGATGATAAAAAATAGTGGACAAAATTGGAATTAGAGCAGTCTAAATTTTAAATACACAGTGCTAGAAAATGTACTCAGTGTTGCTTGGGCCCTTAACTCTTCCCCCCCCCCCCTTTTTTTGGAAAATAAAATGAAAATGCACGTGCTTCGTTTAAATAATTGATCTAGGGTAGGACTGGGGATGAGGGGTTTAATATGCAGTCTGCACCAGGAAGAGAGGACTACACCAGTCCTTTTTCAAAGCAGCAGCTTGGGTCCAGGGAGAAATACCTCTTCTTTGCCACTGCAACTCCAGCGGGCACAGCTGGGAGAGACAAAGTCTCTCAAATATATAATAGATCACACATCCTTCTTTCAGCTGATCATAAACATTAAGACCTCCACTTTCACACACACATGTATTTGTATTCACATTACGTGCATTGATTGCAAGCAGAAAATAATATTTACATTTCAGTGTGTTAATCATACTGTTCCTTCCTAACAGAGATGTTTATGTTGTTTCCCAGTGAAAACTTTAATTTCTAATGTGTGCTGATGCTGTTACTGACTTCTACTTTGTATTGCTTGTGACACTTTATTGGAAACACTTCACCAATTGAATACAAAGTGTTCCCATTCATTAGTCTGAGGAAACAGCAGTTGCAGGGAAGACATTTAGTATCAAGCAATGAGCAGAGAGAAAAGTACATTTTCTACCAGGCAGTAAGCTAATGTTCAGAATTGGAAACAATTTATTGACAGTTTGAGATCTTTAAAACTTCCATTTTTAGCAACTATAATACAAATATGATGATGCATGCCTACTTTCACTTCTTTTATTGGTTTTATGTCACCTAATTCATAAGAAAGAAAAACATATTGTTTGTGAGAGCACCAACCTTCACAGTTTTGGATAATGAAAAAGACACTTAAAAAGCCAATATGTCAGCAATTTAAAGGTCCTGAATCTATAACAGTGCAACGAGGAAATTTATTTAGCTGATTAAAAAGCAAATATATTTCTGTGTGCCTCTTCAGAGACTAGTAATATACATATAAATTGGGTTTTGGGAAGGTCGGGGTGTGTTTAAAGATAAATACTATCAAATTTGATTCTGCACTTCCTACTAAAAAGTACCTGAATTGTAAGTGAATACACAAGCAAATAAGTATTATTCTTTGAGTGATAATCTGTACCATGTTCCACAGTGGGTGATCATAAAACTAGTGGGTTTTCGTTGGAAAACTTTCTAGCTAGATGTCCCTGTACAACAGCATCATACCCTTTGCTCCCTCATACAATCAATGAGGGTAAAAAGTACAGAAAACCTCTTTACCCTCTATGGCATGTATGGGAGCAACATACCTCTCTGGTTAGTTAGTTGACAGTATTAGCTAAGTCTTTCCTGGCGCTGTCTGGAACTTCCATTCCCCAGTGGGATTGGTTTTCCAAGGCAAACCGCTAGTCCTTAGGCTTCAAGCAGTGCCCCTTCTGAAAATTTTTCATGCCTTTCAATGATGGTCATGCGTGGTGACAATTCTGCCGGGCTAGTCCTTAGGCTTCAAGCAGTGCCCATTCTGAAAATTGTTCATGCCTTTCAATGATGGTCACGCGTGGTGACAATTCTGCCTTGGTGAAGGGCACATTCCTGACTGATGCAAAATCTACTGATCCTTCTCAGTGCAGACCCAGCATTCAGGTGAGTCTTATTTGACAGGCTTACTTCTAGAAAAGTCAATGTTTTTGCACTTGTACCCAGGATCCAGCCCTTGGGAGACCAGAGGTCCTTGAACTCTGCATTAAAGATATTTTCAAAATTGATCCAAGGTGTCCCTTAAGTCTGTCTCAGTCCTGAGGAACTACTGGGACCAGTTGAGCACCAAGTGAAAGTCCTCAGGAGAGAAGATGAATAAAATGCCTTGTCAAGGAGTGGTCATTAAGCTTCATAAATCTATGAGGCTGTTCAAAATCAAAATGCTTCAAAATGGAGGAAAGTCTCCCTCAGTATCAGGGCATTTATAAGCCAGGTGACCAAAACATGCTGCAAGTCTCACCTAGCATCACTTCAGCCATAATAGTTTAATCCATATTAAAATCAGCTAAGCACCCTCTATGGCCAGGACAAGATTCATCTCATGAAGTGTCTGCAAATTGATTGCTTCATAATTTGCTCTGTTGTTTTTTCAGGGTACTGATGTTAAACTGACTAGTTTCTAATTTCCTGAATTGTCCTTATTTCCCTTTGTAAAGATTGGCACTTTTCCAATCTTTTATAATCTCTCCCACCTTCAATAACTGTCCAAAGATAGTCACTAATGGCTTAGTTATCTTCTCAATCTGCTCGTTGATTATTCTAGGATATATTTCATCAGCTCCTGGTGACTTGAAGTTGATATGCTAATTGGCCAGTGGGTGCCACGATTCCCTGCATTGGGCAGGCATCAAGGATGTTCTGGAGTGCCAACAAAACCAGGCATGCTCTCCTAAATCTTCCCATTAAAGCACGTAGCAATCATATTTGACCATATGATTCAGTGGTTGGTAACTCCCCCTCCTAAATCTTCCCATTAAAGCACGTAGCAATCATATTTGACCATACATTCAGTGGTTGGTATCTTTTTGCATCCAATGGTGAAGAGGTTCCTGTATGGCATCTCTAGACCCTTTTCCTCTAATCTTGCTCCATCATCTGTCTCCAGTGTGTTCCCCTCCATATTTATGCAAGGCCCATATGATTCTCTGGCAACAAGTCCAATTCCTATCTCTTCAAAAGTTTATTTTCTTCTGCTTATTACATCAGCTTCCACTGAACGTGGAATTGTTGAAGGTGTCATGTTCATAAGAACAACACAGAATCTTTTCACATGCACACACTCTAGTCCTGCCAATGTTATTGTTAGCAGTCTGTACCTTTGACCAATCTAGTGGCCAGTTAGATTGGACCTGTGTGGAGGAGCAAGGTTTTGTTGGTCACTCTAAGGGTATGACAAAAGTGGACTTTTGTCGACAAAACTTTACTTGCTTCTACACTACCACTGAGTTCTGTCGACATTTAGTCAACAGCACGTGGCAGTTTTGTCGACTGTTGTAAACCTCATTCTTCGAGGAATAACGCCTTTTGTCAACAGAATTCT